AATGTCTGCCCAGGCAGCAAGGCCCTCCACCATGGGGAAGACTAGAGGGGGAGCATAGAAGTGAATGAACCCTGAGGGGAGGGGCAAAGCCAGAGTCCCTAGACATGACCAGGGGCAAGGCCAGTTCCCAGAGGGCAGGGTTCTAAGGCAGAGGTTGCCCACAACTGCCTGGCCCTCATCCACCTGAAACTTGCTCTCTATCCATGGAAATGGATAGCAGGGTGGTATGGGCACCTCCCTGGACTCTGGTGCTCAGCAGGGAGCTTGGTCCATCTGCAGAGTACTCGGAAATGCCCCATTCTATAGATAGGCCTTTTGAGGGGATTTGAACTTTTTGCAGGTATAGGGCAGCAAGGATACCTGGGAGTAGCACCAAGAGTCTCACAGGACAGTTAGCAAAGCCTTGGTGCTGGGGAAGCAGGTGACAGGACAGCTAAACTGGGCACCAGCCTCAGGAGCTGCCATAAACAGAGCTCTGCATCCAGGGAGGTGCAGGGCTTGAGTTCTGACAAACAGTAAGAGGTGAACTGTAGACAGGCCTGGTGGTCATTGGAAGGGACTGATTGCTTAGCATCCCCTGAGGAACACATTGGCACAAAGTCCTGGGGAAGGGCTGCCAGGTGGCCCAGGATGGTAACCCAATGACCATTTTGGTGCATCTCCCAGCTCTTTGACTATATCTCTGAGTGCATCTCCGACTTCCTGGACAAGCATCAAATGAAGCACAAGAAACTACCCCTGGGCTTCACTTTCTCCTTCCCTGTGAGGCACGAAGACATTGACAAGGTGGGCCAGGTAGAGGGGAGGGATAATGAAATGGATGGATATGTACCCCAGAGGAACTCCGCCCCTGTTGCCTTCATATGCAGCACTCCACCCTGTGCTGGGAAAGAGTCCAAACTCAGCAGGGAGAAAAATATAGATTCAAATTGTGGCCCCATAATTTACTGTCAGTGAAACTTTGGAAAATAAGAATAATTTCAGCTGATTCTTACTATGTGCCAAAGCCTGCCTACAATCCTGAGAGGCATGTGTGCAATCGCCCCTGCTACAAATGAGGAGAAGAAACTGAGGTTAAGCAGCTCATCACAGACCACCATGACACATCATCACTTCTTTTTTATGTATACATTTTTTAGTTGTAGATAAATACAATACCTTTATTTATTTTATGTGGTGCTGAGAATCGAACCCAGTGCCTCACATGTACAAGGCAAGTGCTCCATCATTGAGCCACAACCCCAGCCCAACACATCATCACTTCTGGCTGAGTCAAAAATGTGAAGGATCTGAGATTTTTACCTCACCTGCAACTCACAAGCTAGCCTGCCAGTTATGACCAAACACACACACACAAACACACACACACACACACACACACATTATCTATATATACACATATAATACATACATGACACATAAATTTTATATATGTATGTCTCTATACATATACACATACATAAAACATGAGGCCTCTGGGTCTGAAACAAAGCAAGGTCATAGTTCAAGGCAAAAGCAACAGCTGGAGCAACATCTCACATGGTTTTTCAAGGCCCGAGCTCCCTTAGAGACATAGAAAGGGCCGGGTGGTACTTCTTCTGCTACAGGAGAGGAACTCTGATCTTATACAGTTGCTCCCCTTGGGACCTATCTTTACTCTAGGGTATACTGTACAAACATTCTTGGGCTGGGGGTGTAGCTCAGTAGTAGAGGGCTTATCTAGCATGCTCAAGGTCCTGGGTTCAATTCCTGACACTACATACAAAAAAATACACATCACATTCTTAAATTGGCTGGGACCTAGCCCTGCAGAAATGTGAGATATTTATGGAAAATTGTTTCCAACATTTATCAAAGCTGTGTGGATACTCAAAACTTGTTTCCTCAACTGTAAAGTGAGATACATGTCCCTGTGACCTGAAAAGGAACTAGTTTAAGGCCATAGTTCTCTGCCTAACACCAGCAACCATAAGACCTTCCTCTCCCCACAGGGCATCCTTCTCAACTGGACTAAGGGCTTCAAGGCCTCTGGAGCAGAAGGAAACAACATTGTCGGGCTTCTGCGAGATGCCATCAAGAGGAGAGGGGTGAGAACACCTTCATCTGCCAGGAGAGGGAGGCCCTGGGCCCCTCCTCACTGCACCAGTGGACCCTCTCCTAGCCCTATCACTGCAGCCCCATCTGTGCTTCTTGGCAGGACTTTGAGATGGATGTAGTGGCAATGGTGAATGACACTGTGGCCACAATGATCTCCTGCTACTATGAAGACCGCCAGTGCGAGGTCGGCATGATTGTGGGTAAGGGCTCCTTGCACTCCTGGCCCTTCCAAAATGGGCAGGGGCTCTGCATGAATAACTGGTTTCAGTCAGTGCAATGCCTAGGGCTAGAGCTAAGTGGTCTTGGAATATGTGGTGTTGGCTCTACGTGCTGGTAAAAAGCATTTTGTAGCATCATGGTATCAGATGGTCCACCGGCTGCACACCTGCCCAGCCCATCAGATGTGATTAAAACCCTTTATCCAGGGCTGGGGATGTGGCTCAAGCGGTAGCGCGCTTGCCTGGCATGTGTGAGGCCTGGGTTTGATCCTCAGCACCTCATAAAAACAAAGATGTTGTGTCTACCAAAAAATAAATATTAAAAAATTCTCTCTCTCTCTCTCTCTCTCTCTCTCTCTCTCTCTCTCTCTCTCTCTCTCAAAAACAACAACAACAACAAAAAAAACTTTATCTGGTAAATTGACCACACTGACAGATTTGTCCAAGTGGAAGAGGATAAGCAAAAGTGGTGACATCCCTTCCTGCAAGGTCTTCCTATGGGCCTGTCCTGCCCAGGCTCCTCCTCTAACTCACTACCTCTGCCCCTAGATCCCACCCTGCCCCAACCTGGAGCAAAGCAGGCATCTGAAAAGGGAGCTGCAACCCTACCCTCCCATCCAGGTCCTCCACAATAATCTCCAGAATTTCCCAGAAGATTGGATCCTTAGAAGGAGCTAGCATTTCCTGAGTAACAATCCAGTCAGACCAGATACCTGCTGTGCACACAGATGTGGGGGTGTTTTTCTATACTTTCTGAGCTCTGGTTACCCAGAAAGTCCATGTTAAAAGTTATTTATGGGTTTGGGGATTTATCTCAGTGGTAGAGCACTTGCCTAGCATGCATAAGGCCCTGAGTTTGGTCCTTGGCCTTAAGGAAAAAAAAAAGTTATTTGCTTCTAAGGGCCCTTCAGAACCAGCTCTGAGAAATAATGTATTTGTATTGGTAGGTTCCCATCTATAATTATATTTCCCCCCCAAAAAATATTATTTATTATATATATATATACATACATACACATACATACATATAAACATCATAAACATTTATGTACATGTCTCTTAAGCTCCAGGCTGACCTCACTTTGTCTCTTGTCTTGTTTCCTACCTTCATTTTCACCCCAGTACTGGGAGATTGAACCCCAGGTCCTATATATGCTACCAGCACTCTACCACTGAACTACATCCCCAACCCTTTTTTTTTTTAATTTATTTTTCAGCTGTAGTTGGACACAATACCTTTATTTTATTTATTTATTTTATACGGTGCTGAGGATCGAACCCAGGGCCTTACATGTGCTAAGTGAGCGCTCTACTGCTGCGCCACAACCCCAGCCCCTCCCCAGCAGTTTTTGATATTGTCTTGAGACAGGGTCTTGCTAAGTTGCCCAGGCTCCCTCAAATTTTCAATCCTATTGCCTCAGCCTCCCAAGTAGCTGGCATTACAGCTGTGTGCCACTATTCATAGCTCTTTCACTCTTGCCTTTCATAGAGAAAGTTGTCTTTAAGCCCAACATCTACACATGAGCTCTAGTTGGCCCTAGCTGTGCCCCACCACCACCAACAACCCTCTCCCTTGGAGTTACCTGGGGTTTCCAAGAGACCTCAACCTGAGTTCTCACCAGAACAAGCTACAGCTGTTTGGCCCAGGCACACCCCTCCCAGGATACTCTTTGGTGGCCCATGACTCACATCTGCCCACACACACTCTTGGTGACTGCTCAGTGTTTAAAATCATGTTTACAATAATTTCCAAGGTCTAAAATTGGGAGAATTAACATCAAAGTCTGGATTTCTGTTCTAAAACAAAAACTGGAAGGCCAGGTATCACTGGGCTCTAATTCCTATAAGCAGCCCTGATGACCAGCACTGCAGTTGTCCCTGCTGCCTTCGGGGCTGTGTAGCCCACATAGTCAGCTCAGTATGATACTCTACCTTCACTATCAAAACTCTTAATAACTTATGAACAAAGGACCACACATTTTTACTTTGCTCAGGACATGGCAAATGACAAACCTTGCAGCCATTCTTGCCTGTGGTAATCTCTGGGCTGTTCCAAGAGTTTGCACTATGCCTTACTCACTTTGGGGTGCCCCCCAAACAGGGTTCAGAAAACAGGGCACTTCGACAAGAGAAAGCCATAAAATCTCACAGCCACCTCTAGTTGGCAGAATACGTTGGCACACAGTTGTTCTCCATCCACCCAACCAGCCAGGTAATGGGTGGGGAAGGTGTTACTGTCCCCTTTTAGAGAAGAGGACAGCCCAGAGACTGGCCCATTTACCCTGGGTCACACAGTCAGCCCAGATCTTCCAACCCTCTCCCCTCAGCTTGTGTAGCCTAATGTGTCCCCATCCCTGTAGGTACAGGCTGCAATGCCTGCTACATGGAGGAGATGCAGAATGTGGAGCTGGTAGAAGGGGATGAGGGCCGCATGTGTGTCAACACTGAGTGGGGTGCCTTCGGGGACTCAGGTGAACTGGATGAGTTCCTGCTGGAGTATGACCGCATGGTGGATGAGAGCTCTGCGAATCCCGGTCAGCAGCTGTAAGGACACCCCCCAGCCCATCTCTGGGCTGCTCTCGCTGGGAATGCAGCAGTACATGGGAGCCCCACCACCACAGATAATGGCTTGTTTTTAAACAGGGGAAAACAACCTGCTCATTCCCCTGTAAGCTGGCTCTTCTTCAAGTCAGTCATGCCTTGCCCCTGTGAACCCAGAACAGGGAGAGGCACTGCTTAGATAAGGCCAAACTTCCCCATTCTGACAGGTGACCTTGGTCACAGAGAAGGCTCTGACCCTCAGCAGTGTTTACCAGGTTTAACCCAGAGTTCCTTAAAGCACATATTTGTCTCCATTCACAAAATGAATATTAGTGTTTTGTGAAATGCTATAAATTGGCAGAATACATCTTGGGAACACCACACAGATCATAGCTATCACTTGTTAGCCACCTGCTAGGTGCCAGACCCATGCTAATTCCTTTATGAGCTTCATCTTCATCACAGGCCTCTATTAGGTAAGTAGTATTAAATAAATTTCAAGATAAAAATGTGGAAGCCACCAAGAAAGTTTCAGAAGGACTGAATAGAGGCTTCAACTTCATCCCTTTCCCTCACAGGGCCAACAGCTGGGCCAGATGTGTTGAAAACGTGCACATTCCTAGTATCCAAAGTTTCTAAAACCCCTGTTTATAAACGAGTGAGAAGCATGAAACCCAGGATGTGGGGCAACTGGGAGGGGGTGAAACCAAGATACCCCTGTGGCTACCTCAGAACCCTTAAGGGGAAGTGATGGAGATGTCCCCAGCAGGTCAACTGGTGTAACCCTCCTCCCATGTCCAGGTATGAGAAGCTCATTGGTGGGAAGTACATGGGTGAGTTGGTGCGCCTTGTGCTTCTCAAACTGGTGGATGAGAATCTGCTATTCCACGGGGAAGCCTCAGAGCAGCTACGCACTCGCGGCGCTTTCGAGACCCGATTCGTATCGCAGGTGGAGAGGTGCGTGGAAGAGATGGGGACCCAGGCCAGCGGCAAAGATCAAGAGGGCAAGGGCAGGGACACAGAAGCCCTTGTGGGCAGGGTCCTAGGCGAGGCAGAATCTCTGGCCTAATTCACCAGGATGAGGAGGAACTGGGAGCAGAATCCTGAGTGTTCTCTGGCCCCAAGCCGAGCAGTGGCCAGGTAGCTACCCTGTGCACATTTCCCCCACAAGATGGTTCCTCACTCCCACAGACACCTTCACACTTCATTCACACTACAGCTCCCAGGTGCAGCAATGTTTTTGCACCACATTAGAGCACAGACCCAGGGCTTAGAGGGAGCAGTAAAAATGAAGTACTGGTCTCTGGCAAAATTGGCCTGCTGCCTTCCAGAGCACAAGTCCCGAACACTTTGACTGGGTGAGGTGGGTAGGATCATCCCTTCTCCAGGGAGGGCCCATGGCTCTGCTAGCCAGACCTGGACAACCACCCTTCCACCTCCCACCCCGCAGCGACTCAGGTGACCGCAAGCAGATCCATAACATCCTGAGCACACTGGGGCTGAGGCCCTCCGCCACTGACTGCGACATTGTGCGCCGCGCCTGCGAGAGCGTGTCCACGCGAGCAGCGCACATGTGCTCAGCAGGGCTGGCGGGTGTCATCAACCGCATGCGCGAGAGCCGCAGCGAGGACGTGATGCGAATCACCGTGGGTGTGGATGGCTCTGTGTACAAGTTGCACCCCAGGTAATTCCCCCCCTGCACCCTAGGTGACCCTCCCCACCCTGGCACCCCTCTCCCTACTAAAGTGAGATCCAAATGGCGTGGCCCCCAGGAATTCATGAGCCTCTTTGGGTTGTCCCCCTAGGCCTGGATGGGATGGAGGGTCGGCTGGGTTCTGGGCGCCCAGGAGAGGTGGGGGTTAGCAGAGGTGAGACCTGGAGGGCCGGAAGAGCTTGTAAGGCAGCCCTGTTTCCCTCCGGTTCAGCTTCAAGGAGCGGTTCCACGCCAGTGTACGCAGGCTGACTCCCAGCTGTGAGATCACTTTCATCGAGAGTGAAGAGGGTAGCGGCAGGGGTGCGGCCTTGGTTTCCGCAGTGGCCTGTAAGAAGGCCTGCATGCTGGGCCAATGAGAGCCAGGCTGTGAGGGCCGAACCTGGACTCCATGGGGACTGCGCTCCCTGTAGTTGCTCCCAGCTCACCAGGGCAGGAAGCTGCCTATCCTGCTGCTAATCCTGGAAGATGGTGAGAGATCACTGGAGCCCATCAGGCCTCTTGGCCTTTTCTCCAGAAGTCGGTGGGACAACCCCAGAGCCCTGGGGTAAGGGGCTGAGAGGAGCAGAAACAGACTCCAAAGGCCCTGGCCCTTCCTGCTGAAATCAACTACGGAGATGTAGTTGCTCACTCAGGACTTTGTTGCATTTCCACACTGTCTGCTTCTCAGAGCTGCCAGCCTGGCCTGGGCTCCTGCTTTGAGATGGGAGTGCCCTTGGGCACCTGCTGTGGCTTGGCTTCTGTGGAAGCTCACCCTGCTTGGGAGGCAGGGGGCAGGCAACTCCAGCAGCTTGGCCAGACCAGACCTGGGCCCACAGGGGACAGTGGGCTGCTGGTCACCCAGGCCTCACCGTTTCTTGTGTCTGACCCAAGAGGACAAAGAGCCATAGGAGAAGGCCCAGCTGTGGGGAGAGGATTTCCCAGTCTGCAGGTGACCCCAAGAGGCCTTTTTCTTCACACACACACACACACACACACACATCCCTGAGATAGGCCCTTACAGGTGATGAGACAGAGCCCCAATATCCTGCCCCAAGGGTCCCACAAAATGGAAGAGACACCATCAGGAGTCCTTCAACCTGCTCCCAGAGGCAGGAAGGTGTCTTTGGCTCTAAAGGCACTAGTCCAGGAAGAAATCCCAGAAGCATTCAGCATACCTCCAAGGGACCATCTCAGCCCCCTCTCATCCTCATCATATCTCCCATGTGTCACACCACCCTTTCCATGCCCAACCTGGGACTATGTGGGGTTTTTAATTAAAAACTTTAAAAAGTTTAAATATGGCCTTTATTTGACCTCTCTGCATAAGAACCATATGGACAATATATGAAGAGACAGACATCGTCATGTGGCTATATCTTGGAATGCGTTATCCTCCAGCCTGTTATGCCTAGGGGAATGTGAAGAACGACAGGATAAGCTGTGGGAATGGGATGATGTGGGGGATCAGAGACATAGGACACTGCCTGCCATGCAATGAGTGTGGGATGGAAGGAGTACCAGGCAAGTCATTGTTCTAGTGAAGGGATGGGCTGGCCCTGCTACAAGTTGTTCTCAGGTCCTGTCCCCTCAGAGCCAAATAGGTAGCGACATTGAGTAGAGGCCAGAGATAGAAGATATCACACAATTCTAAGGTCTCTCTATAGAGACTTTGGTAGGTGAAATATCAAGTGTAGGACCTAACGCCATCTTTAGGTAGAATGAACAATTACATATATAGACAGATTTGTGTCATTGTGTTGCATATTCGTTTCTCAACATAAGAAACTACCCAGCAAATTAGGAACAACTGTGCTTTGTCTCGTTTAGAACATGACCCAAAGTTGTAATTTTGGAAAGTCAGATCCACTGTGAGATCTTCTAATTTTTCTGGTACTTCTAATGTGGAATTGCTCTGGTCCTCTTCATTCATTTGAGTTTAAGTTCTGTACTGTAAGTTGACACAGCATCTGATTGCTTCACCATCAAGATAATGGGATTGTTTGAGCATACACACATTAGGACATATTTTAATATAAATGGCTTTCAACTTCTTCATATTACAGTTTGAGGTATTATATTGATTTTTAAATGTTTTTGTGAAGCTAAGTTGCATATCTGAATTGAAAAAAAAATGAAATGAATTTTACTTCCAACAATAAAAGAGGTGTTAACAAAATATTTAAATAGGGGACCTGGAGTCTAATGGATGAGAGTGCCTGCCCTCTTTCAGCCTACCACTGATATATATGGGCCTTGCATAGCTGGGTTGGGGTGAGTGTTGCCAGCAGGTCCAGCCAGGGAACCCACTCCTGCCTCTCTCAAGCAGTCCAGCTTCTCTAGCTCCTCTAAGATGCCCCTGGTCCCTCAAGAAGCTGGTGAAGTTGCTGCTCTGAACAGCAGAGGGCGTCCGGGCCCCTCTGTCCACAGTTCAACACCACCTCAGAGTCCCTGTGACCCTCTTTCGTAGGGTGCCAGGGGAGGGTCCATGCTCCAAAAACTTCATGCAAAACAGAATCACATAGACCTGCTGTGTGCAAGCCCTCTGGGGTTCAGGTGTTGAACAGGCTGGGTGTTCAGGAGGAAGCTACAAAAACAAGTTAGCCATCAAGTGAATGGGAAACATGCCCACAGTTCCCAGTTAATGTCATCATAGAGGTGCTAAAGGAGGTGGAGTTGAGGCTTGTAGGACAGCAAGATTCCAAATGAGGATATGGGAACACTGTAGAAGAGCAGGCCACAATAGCAGGGGCACAGAGGTAGAGAGTAGCCGGTACACTTTTCACCCCCAGAATTGCCCCAAAGCCAAGTAAATGGTCCTACAGGGTATAGACAACTCAGAGATGCCTGCTGTCACTTAGTCAGGGGGCAAGAGGCCAGAGCTGAAGGTCTTCACCAAAACCTCTGGGAATCCCAGGTTTTAGACCAGAGATCATCCTCAGAAACACTGTCTCCTTCCAAGCAAAGTGGTGCATGCTTGTAATCCTGGGGGCTTGAGGGAGGGAGGTTCAAGGCAGGAGGATCACAAGTTTAAAGCCAGCCTTAGCAACTTAGTGAGGCCCTAAGCAATTTCAAGACCCTAACTCAAAATAAAAAATAAAAACAGCTGGGGATGTGGCTCAGTGATTAAGCACCCCTAGGATCAGTCCTTAGGACCAAAAAAAGAAAAAGAAACACTGTCTCCTTAAGCCTATAGGTCCTGGACTGGCCTGGCCTAGCCAGAGCCTGAACTGGACCTGCAGAAGAGATTCTCAGATAAGGGGCAACAGGAACCCTTAGCTGGTACCTATAATGGTGAAAGCTTTGAGCTACTCTGCTCTGGGGAGACACAATGAGTGGTCACATGAGATGGATGGACCCCAAGATGTTACATGTGGACATGAAGGTCACCAGGAATGTAACTGGAATCTGCTTGGGGCCCTCATCCTCTTCTAGCCCAGTCAGGGGCTGCCAAGTTTGGGCCTGTTCTCTGCTGCTCTCCTTATTTGGACCGCCAGGTGATAAGGCTGGGACATAAAGGGGGTCTGGCAGCAAGAGGGAGCAGCAATTCGCGTCAGAGAAGATGGTAAGTGCCTGGTGGGGACAAAGAGACCAGCAGTCTCCAGGGTTGGGAGGGGACGGAGCCAGGGACTTCTGTGGCTGTGTGAAGCCTGAAAGGTAGTACCCAGGGCTGGAGAGAGGATCCTCACCCTGAGTCTCCTAGGACTGCTCTTAGATTGTGCATGACGAGAAAGGGACATTTAGGGGACCTGGGGAGAGGACTCCCTCTCATCTACAGTATTGTAGGCCAGCAGGAAGACTGGGATCCGGGGAAAGGCTGCAGCCACCAAGCAGACTCAGCGTGGATCTTCCAATGTCTTTTCCATGTTTGAACAAGCCCAGATCCAGGAGTTCAAGGAAGTGAGTGCCCCACCCCCAGGAAACCCCAACCCCATCCAAAACCTACCCCTTCCCATATGCACACTCTTCTCTGTGTGTTATGGCCCTGGCCCCTGATTGTCCTCCATACACGACCCAGGACTCTCTACCTTCTCACAGGCATTCAGCTGCATTGACCAGAACAGAGATGGCATTATCTGCAAGTCAGACCTGAGAGAGACCTACTCCCAGCTCGGTGAGTGCCTCTGCCTTCTGCCCACTACTCCCCCATCTGCTCACTTGCTTTCCCAAGGGTCCCTGCCCAGGGAAAGAACTGTTTCCCTGCCCCCTTCTCTCTCTCCTTCCCATCTCCTTACACCTCCCTTTTCCTGCCTTTTCACCAGAAGCCAGGAAAAAGGGGAAGGGCAGACTGGCCCTTCTCTGGGATACCAGAGTCCCTGTGTTTGTATCATCCCCCCCTTCATAGGCAAGGTGAGCGTCCCAGAGGAGGAACTGGATGCTATGCTGCAGGAGGGGAAGGGCCCCATCAACTTCACGGTCTTCCTCACACTCTTTGGGGAGAAACTCAATGGTGAGCCTGGGGCAGCTCTGGGTTCCCTTGACCAGACATGGAGTCTGAACCTGCCAAACCCACCTGACCCTGCCAGAACCCTGTCTGGACTCTGCCTGGCCATGGCCCACCCAGGGGATGTGGGGCCTACCTCTGCACATCCTGGGCCCTGGTCAGCCCAGTGCTGACTTGAGTTCAGGACACATCCATTCCTAAATCCTAACTCCTAGCCAGCCCTGCCCACTTCAGGAGGGTGGTCATTCCCAGACCCTCTGATCCCCAAGGAACATTCCATAGGGGGGAATGCCCCCACCTCTTCTGGAACATGGAGAGCTCCCCCCATGCAACTCTGGGCTCCTCTTGGATAGGGCTTGAAAAGCTGGGGACCTGAGTATTCACCTGGCTGCCTTGGTCTCCCAGGGACAGACCCCGAGGAAGCCATCCTGAGTGCCTTCCGTATGTTTGACCCCAGCGGGCAAGGGGTAGTGAACAAGGATGAGTAAGTGTCAACTCCCCTACCCACAGTGAGGGACAACATGCAGAAGCAGAAAGGGGCAGTGGGGCCGCTTACGTGGGGGGCCACCTGAACCTTGGCCTTCAGTGTTCTTTGAGGGGTGACCAGCTCTTTCCTGGGCTATGCCACCCTTTCTCTCAGCTCAGATCCTCCCCACTTCCCAGGTTCAAGCAGCTCCTCCTGACCCAGGCAGACAAGTTCTCTCCAGCTGAGGTGAGCCTGCCCAACCCTGTTAGTACCTATCCCTAGGAACTTCTCAGGGCCCTCCCCAGCAGGGCATTGGGGATACCTCCTGACCCACTGCCCCCATCACCAGTGTAGTATAGGCTGAGAGGGCAACTGGGCCTTTCCAGAGGATGTTCCATCTCTATCAAGACCTGTAGGGGTAGATGTGGGGTTGGAGGGTGGAAGTATACCAGGCAGGGAGACTGTGCAGACCAAGTGACCATTGGAAAAGTGTCTTCATAGGGGGCTGGGACCATCTCTGTGACCAGGGTGCACCTTTTGACTTCTGCCTCCGTTTGAGCCTACTGCTTAGTCTGCCCAATGATGACCAACAGGAAAATAACCAGGCATTTGGGGTTTGGAGTTAAAAAGTTTGAGGCCCCAAAACAGCCCCAGATTGAGGGTAAAGGGTCCCCTAAGCCACATCTCCGCCAGTTGTTGCCTTCACAGGTAGAACAGATGTTTGCCCTGACACCCATGGACCTGGCAGGCAACATCGACTACAAGTCCCTATGCTACATCATCACTCATGGGGACGAAAAAGAGGAGTAAGGGGCAGGCCTGGGATACCACAATAAACTCTGTTTCTGAATGAAAATTGTAATGTTGGCTTATCTGTGACAGAGGGGGTGGGGACCAGACAGGAGTCTCAGGGACTAATACAGGCCCACTAAGATAATGACGATCACACACACAACTCACTTCATCCCATGCTGCAAAATGAATTATGAACCATGACCATGAGCAGTTTATAGATGAGTACACTGAGGCCCAGAAAAGTGGTCACCTTGCTCAAGGCCAATTTCTAGAAGAGGATTTGTACCTCCTTCCACAAGCCCATGAATGAATCTCAAAGTAGGCACTGTCCATATCCTCCAGGTTATGCAGAACAAAGGGTTTCTGGGCACTCAGCAAACTTTCTACCCAACTAGTGACAGCAGCCCCAACTGTAGAGCACCCCGGACCCACTGTACATTCCCCTCTTGGCACAGTGGTGTAGGTGGGTCCCATGTGAAACCATCCAAAAGCACAACCCAAATCTCATGGGAAATACAGGTGACAATTATGGCATGACAGGAAATGGACACCAGAGCCCAGACCAGAGCACTTGGAGATATTCAAAATAATACCA